GGACGCCTCGAAATCCACTGTGGGCTTGTCTCTCAGAATAACAGTTGTTCATGAGTGAGTGTAATCCATGGTGCCATGCAAGGATCTGCCTCCCGTATGAGAGGTTGTGTTTTGATCAAGGTGTTCATAGGATGGGCCACTCTGACCTGGCAACTGGAGCCACCACAGAAGTGTAGTCTACAGGCCTACAGCCCTCTTCAAAGCTTCGCCACGATGTAAATATCCTACATTTGATCAGCATCACCGCCGTTCTGTGTCTCGCAACAAGTCCCTAGTTGAGTAAAAACTCGAGGAGGTCTTCGCCTTCGCTCACAAAAAACTTTATCAGCGCATGCTTTTCCATGCACGTATCTACAGCCACGATGAAAGAGGGTATGCATCGGTTAGTTGTCAGAACTTGTCATACAGCGCATTTATAGCCTACGACTTAATGCTCCTCCTCTTGTTTAATGCATGAAGTTTAAACAGCGCATATAAATTGGCAAGTAGATTTCTCCATCTCCCACCTATGAATTTGGGCATTTGCGCGTCCAAAAGCGCTCTCCCATCGTCTGCTTTTAAGGTACCTTTATAGACATTTCACAGAAGCCTCATTCTGCGAACAGCATGAATATGGATCTTAGTGAAGTTTATTGGCAGAAGTGACAAGACTTTGGGTATATCAGAGTCTTTGAGGTGTCTGGTGTGATTTATTCATTAATTTCTACAATTATGTAGCTGGAAAATAGACCGCTGTTGAACATAAAGACAAGCCAAATTTGCTGCGAAGGACGCAGTCATGCATAGCTCGTCCATTAGTCCACGTGGCACTCTCGACTTTAAAATGGTAACCGACTGAATGGGTGGTAACCAGTCAGGCGGTTCTGAATAGCTTCTTCCACCAGCTAAACACTCAGCATCACTTTGGCTACTTGAGGTGGTCATACTAGTCGCAGATGCCTTGTGACAGCAACTCGTTCCGGTGATAGCTTCAGTCACATGAAGTGATCAAAAGTCGTCGTATTTATGGCGACTTAATTGACGATGAGAAGTTATCCAAATCCATCCATCGGTGTCCGCCACGTCAAGATGTCTCGTACACCTGATGCGGAGGATTTCGAGGCGCTTGCCGATCAGGTTTATGAATTTGCACTAAGTAGTTGGGTTTACCACCTCCTCCACTTTCCTGAAGATAGTGGATTCCTATGGCTACTTAAGCATTTACTCATTAACTTCTACAATACCTACACTCATGGTATTTCAAGAAGACATGGATGAGTGGACGATATCCCTTTAATGAAATGCAATTACCCTCGTTTTATGCAATTTTACACGATAAACATTATATTACTTATTTACTTTAATTTGATATTTTCTGGTGTTGAGGAAGCCTGGAGTGGTGTATTGACACTGTACGGTCCATCAACTTGGGGAAGGTTGCATGACCACACCAAGGTTTTTCTCGCATTTTCATAGTTTAATTGTAGAATTAAAGAAATGAGAGACACAAGAATTTGGCCACTAAAAAGATGGCTTCTTGGGTACCTTAATCAACTTCTCCTATCAACTGAACTCCCAGTCAGTATCACTTGCCCTCAAACCACTTTACTTTGTCTACTTGCGATGTTCATACCAGTAGCAGGTGGCCTGTGACAGCAACTCGTTTTAGTGTAAACTTTCATCACTCGAGGTGATCAAAAATTTTCGTATTTATGGTGAACTATCTGATAATGAGAAGTCATCCCGTTCGAGCCGGTGGTGTTCACTGCTTCAAGATGTCGCGTACACCTGAATCGGAGGATTTTGAGGCTCTT